CAAAAACATGAGAGAGCGATAAAGTAAAAATTGATTCAGGTGCCCATTGCGGCCATCATATAATTTCTGGACACTTGAGCAAGTGGCCAATGTACAGGATGCAGTAATGACCTTGCGAGAAAATAGAATCTGGTGAATAGTAGAACCCTTTAAATGCCCTCACTGAGAGACAACGAGTTTCTGATAGTGAGGGTATCCATCAGATGCCAGGTTCCTGATAGGGAGGATATCCCTCAGGTGCCCTCACTATCAGAAGCGTGAAATGATAAAATACTTTATGTGTTGTTGAGGCCAAATATATGAGCGTAGCGAAAATGTTGCCAATCGAAACACGTCGACATGACCAATTCCTGAGTTTTTGCATATATTCCAGGAATGCATGATAAGGAAAATCTTTATAGCGCTATTGATTTTTGGCGCAAAAACACCTGTGTCAAATTTGTTGAGATTGAGTCTAATGCAACGGTTCCGGGTTCAGTTCGATTTATTCCGGTTAAGGTTAGTATTTCAGGGTTATATATTTAGTTTTCTTTTGGCCAACGAGACTAATTAGTGTGGGTATATTATGACAATGCGGGATACCGAACAGATTGATTTCTGCTGCTAACTGCTTCAAATGTGACAGAGAAAGTTGGCAACCAAGCAAGCTCCGGCGCCAAAAGTTGGCAACCAAGCAAGCTCCGGCGCCAAAATTTTGTTAGTGAGCTCCCCGGCCATGTGCCACCCCACAACCGCGGTACCAACCCTCATGCAAGGCTGGACTCAGCGTACGAGGGGGGAAAGTTTTGGCGGGAAAATAGATAACTCGGGAACGAGAAAAGATGGGAAGCTGAAATTTTGAGGTTATGTTTCCCATCTACATACAACTCAAAGATTTCAAATCCAGCCCCTAGGTGTGCGTGGTTCCCACGTATAGCCCCATGAGGATTCCTGGCGCGAAAATCGCTAGCTTGAAAACCAGGAAAGTTGCGAGGCTGAAATTTTCAAGGAATGTTCCTAACATAAGTACAGCATACACCTATCGAATTCAGCTCCCAGCCGTATGTAACTCTTACGTACGACCCCGTGAAATTTTTTGGCGGGGAAATGACTAACTCGGGGACTAGCAAAGCTGGGAGGCTGAAATTTTCAAGGAATGTTCCCAACGTAAGTACAGCACAGCATAAACCTATCAAAGTCAGCTTCCAGTCGTGCGTGACTCTCACGTACGGCCTCTGAAATTTTTTGACGGGAAATTGGCTTACTCCGGAAAAAAACGACCGCTAAGCGGAAATTGTTTACTTCCATTTATGCAAAATTTATGATGATTTGCGGTATTGAACGCACAACGTAGGTGTGAAGAAACAACCGTTCATGCAGTTAACCTAATTCAAGTCTAGTGCAAAAACACACGATCGCACCGGTTCGCCTGTTGCGTTCCAGCCTGGGTTATTCTCAAATTTCAAGGTAAACAATCCAGTTTAAGGCTTCAAGAACCCTCACGTATACAAAGCTTCAGTGTTCTGAAGTGGATCGCTCCCTGTGCGATTTTCAGGATAACAATGTTTTTATGGATGCTGTGATTGGAAAGCAGGTGGAAGATGAGCAAATGGTGTTGGTGCCGCAGAACGGTAAGGTAAGTTTTACTGATATACTA